GCTCTATACCGTGTTCAAAAAAACTACCAGGAAAATATAATGCAAATTAGAGCATTTCCCAAACTCGTCAACTTTAAGATGTGTGAACTTCAACTCCAAGAAGTCCCTAGCTAGCCATGGCATTAGAAAATTACTAATTTACTAATTATTAAATTAGAAATTTTCAAAGTTCTAATTCCGCATAGTGCACAATCATTGCATGGTCAGATGGGAATAGGCTCCTAGTCCTTAAGGTTACAGGGAAATACATAACCTTGAAACCATAAGGGATTTGAAGACTTCAATTGCTATGATTGTTACGGTGGTCTCAATCATCTTGTAAATGTTAATGTTGCAGAAAGAATGGATCTTTGTAATATATTATCCCAGAGTTTTCTGAATTATTTTTTCAATAAACATCACAGCTCTATTTCAAAAGGAAAAAAAATTGAACAAGAAGTAGATCTAAATGTTTGTTCCACTGGGTCATATGGGCACATAGGAACTAAAGATCCTTTCCCCCCATGTTCTAGATTTCTGCCTTCAACTTCCTATAGAAGCTCTAAAAATTGCCAGCAATCTAACCTGACCACAGAAGCCCATGCCATCAGGGGAATGGATGAAACTGGCATAGGCCTGGTTGGTGCGGGAAATGACTGTTGCAACGGCACTCTGATAACTGCTCGAGGAGGTTGCAAGCAGAGGCAAAGCAGCAAGTGGGATGTGATCTTGGCTACTGGATAGACTGTCACCATCGTGGCTGTAGGGGCTGAGTCTAGGAAAGACGAGTTGAAAGAAACGTCAAGACACAATCTAAAACAAAGGCATGTCTTTATAGAGATAAGAAACTACCTCCCATGTATAATCACCCAATGACATTTTTTAAAATATACATGTCTAGGGACTAAAAGACCAATCATCTACCGTGCCAGTGACAAAAGAAGGCATTCTCCATATTCAGCTTAAGAAATGGCCATGGGCCAACAATCATTTGAAATTAAGACCTGTAGTAAGAGTTTAGCCCAAAATCCAGAGCTATGAACAGCTGAAGGAAGAGAGCCTAATTCTGAAAAGATGGAACAGAACTTCCTTAGAAAGTCCTGCCCAGCAATCTCTAGTGTTTGCCCAAAACACTTTACCTTCTAGGGTATTCACTCTGAGTGGTACGTCACATACTTCAAAAGTTTTTTACTTGGCTCTACTCTACTCAAGCTAGTGCAAAGAACAGGTCTCATATTTTTTTCTAGACACCAGAACAACAAAAACGCCTATTACTATTGACGAAGCAGGTACCACTGCCCTCACTAAGCCCCTTCACACTCGAGGTGCCTGTAATTCTTGTTTTTTCAGGCAGCCAACCAAATAGCACTACTCGCATCAAGTCTTCAGCAGCTCAAAAAACCATGCTTCCTACTTTGAAACCAGGACATAGGCAGCAGCGCAGATCGGTGGACAGGGCACTAGGCGTAATGCTATGTGCCCCAATGCTTCAGGAAAATGTAGCCGGGTGACTGAGTCCAAGGTAGCAGTGAGTGTATGCACATCAGCCTGTTTGGAGCCTGGTTCTCCTACACCCTGGTCTAGGATGTTGCCACTGTGGAGGATCAGGAAAAGGGCATGAATACGGCACGTCCCAAACAGCCCTTCTGAGCCAACCTATGGAAAGATACACAAGGCACTGTGAGGATGAAATCTACTGATGGAGATGGCACGTTATCATCCAAGGGGGGAGGAGTTAAATGTGGCCACGTATTGCAGCCAAGGATATGAAAAATTGGCTAACGATATGACAACAATAATCCTGTAATCATCACACGCCCTCTCCGATGGCTTGGGGCCACAATAGTCGAAGGCAGTGAAACAGGAATGCTGTGTTTCAGGCATGGGTTCCCTCACCTCTGGTGGGCCAGGTACGGGGGCACCGTCACTATCTGACTTGGTTGCTTCAGTCACATCAACTGCAAAGGAAATTTATATTGCACTGAGTACAAGGAGACAAAAGGCAAAAGACCAAAGACAGACTCTAGAGGTCAAAAAGGGCAGAAGTCATAGAACATGGAAATTGATTTCTCTTACCTAGAACCTCATCCCGTTCATTGGGTCGCTCCAGAGTATCAAGAAAGTCATTTGAATTCCACTTAGTGATTTCTTTTGCAAACACATCATCACTGTCAGACAAATCCTCTAAAATGAAAAAGGGTTACATGTAGTCTAGTTACATGCAAATACACTGAAATGCCCACCATGGTTAAAAATCAGAGTTAAGAAAGAAGGGATAATTTTTAAAAGAAGAAAGGCACATTAGATGATTGTCTTTAACAGTCCTCCAGATTCATAGGAAAAATTGTTTTCTAGCTTTGCAGCCTATCATCTGTGGAGTCCTTGGTGCTCTCTGAGCTTGGTTGTTTGCTTGCAGACATTCCATTACCCAATTAGGTAACATCATCAGTGAGAATACATGCAGGTCTTGCTCCCTATGTGTATACAGTAGTTTTCCCTGCCAGTTTTGGTAGGGTTCTCCAAAACATTCTCCTTGATAGTTCCTTGATTTTTTTCTGTCCGATTGTCTGATGTTAATTTGCCCTACATAGTGGCAATTATAGTCCTTGCATTGAATATTGTAGATGACTCATTTTTAATTCTTGGGCTATTGGGTCTTTTGGTTTGCTTAAGATGTTTTGGAGGGCTCACAGGTCATCCTTGATAAAGAACTACTTGTTTAACAATGGAAGTTACAATGGCACTGAATGAGGGGTGATAACAACCGGTACTCAAAGTTCTGGCCATCTAAGCAACTCCACAGTCATGTGATTGTGATATGGGTAGTTGGAAACTGGCTCACATTTATAACAGCTGGAAATGTTCCACAATCACATAATTAAAATTTGCAACCTTCCCTGCTGGATACAAAGTCAATGGGGAAGATGGCAAGGAATGTTGCAAGTTGCTTGGGTAAGCCGTCCCCCACCTGCACACTTTGCCTCAGCCTTTTGTGCTCAGGTCAGCTACCCACACACCCTCCCTAAGCTTGTGGTCCAGCTCCCTGGCCATTCATGCGCCCTCCCCAAGCCTTCTTGCTCTCAGGCAGGACCTTCTCAGCCACCCTTCTCATCCAGCAGCAACCATTCCAAGCCCCACAGCATTGGTGCTGTGCCTTGCTGCTACTTGCATAGGCTCCCCAAGTTTTGCTGGATCACGACAAACCTCCCTGGCAACCTCCCACTTGATGGCAGCTGTAGCCACTCCAAACCCCACTGTGCTCATGCCTCCCTGACTATCCATGCATCTTCTTGCTCCCTTTCTCACCTGGCAGCAGCCACTTATGTACTGGCTGGGCTGCTTGCAAGCTACCAGACAACTTTCTGCTGGTTTCCTTACTGAGTTTGCTTGAAAGCTGGTAGGAAGTTGTGAGGTGGTGCCTGCTTAACAATCCACTATCCTCGCTTAACAAAGGCAATGGGAACTACAGAGATTGCTGCAGCTTAGTGATGCACTCACATGATCTTGAGCTTTATGACCATATTGCCCAGTGATGGAAATTCCAGTTAAAAGTACTGTCACAACTTAAGGGCTATTTGTAGTTGGGCCACGTGCTACAGAAAGTTGTTAGGTGGTTGTTTCTCAGATGTTTTTGATATGTGCTTATGCTCCCCATTTTTGTAGCTTCTTCTGGTTGTGCTATAGTGGGTTGAATGATCAGGCACCTTTAAATAAAGTTGTGGGACTATTTTGATGTTGTATAGGTGGTCTGTTTCTTTTTTTGGTGTTGCTGCAGTGCCTTTACATTCATTTGAATAATATTCTTTTATAGCTCCTCTTGTGAGAGGCTGAGTTGTTACTTTGGTAATGGAGGACTTGGGTTACTGTGGGTTGTTGTACAAGGACTGTAAGAGCTATTATGTAGGGCAGGCAGGCAGAAGATTAGCCGAGGGCATCCTTGAACACCAAGCAGGAGTCAAAGACATGATGAAAATTCCTTAATCTCCCAGAATCAACCAGTTTCAACTGGGAAACTCAGCCTATTAGACCAAAAATGCTAGCAAATTCCTGGAAGCTTGACATTCAGACAATTCAACTATCAATAGACATATAGTGATAAACCACATTTACATTCAAAAGATGCAATATAAATGCAAAGAAGGTAACAAAAAGACAAGAATACTTCCTTCCCAGCAGCCAAAACCCAGATAAGGATTAACACCAGGCAAACAATACCCTAATCAAGGAACTACCAAAAAACAAACAAACATGGACACAACCAAATTGGCAAGGCAAGCTACTGCATGTAAACAAAGAGCAAACGGCAGACATACACTGTTAATGTTACCTAAGTGGATAATGAAATGTCTGCAAGTAAACAACCATGCTCAGAGAGACCAAGAACTCCATAGTTCAATGTGAGCTACATATCTAACCAAGTTCAATATATGAGCTAATACATATACATATATGTATACCTATACGTATTATCTCCTCTACTGGAATCCATCATCTGTAAGTAGTAATTTTAAACCCCTGGAATTAACCTTTGGGATTCACAAAATAGGAGTAAAAAAGACTTCTATCTAAAATTATTAAAAGTTATTGACCTCCCTGTTGATAATAGTGGATTGGACAAGGGTTGGTTTGATGGAAGGTAGCTTCCTGTATTTCCTATGACACTTGCTCACCATACACACAAACACACACACACACAAACCATGTGCCTTTAATAACTAAGCTACGAACCTTTTCGTAGTCTTTTCTTATATGGACATACTATTTCTTTTCAAAGAGTAAGCATAAGAGTTCTGATCTTCCCTAACCATATAAATTCATACAAATCCAACTTTCAATACATACGTAAAGAGTTAGTTCTTACAGATGTTTCTACATAACTGGAATCCCAAGTCTTGGAACCAAAAGCAGCTACCTGCCATCTACAAATGAGTCTGAGCTCAACTCTTCTCAGAAACAAAATACCCTGTAGAACCATGCTATTCATATTCAGTGATACGAACCATGAGCATCAAAAAATTCCTCTTCGGAACTGTTCTCGGAGTCCCGTGCAATATTTTGCATCCGCCATTCTGATAAATTGTGTGGAGACACCGCAACTGCAGAGACATATCAAGTGAAATCATGATGACCAAGAAAGCTTAGTACCAACAGGAACACTACATTACAGGAATTATGATCACTGGAATCAATAGTATGAAGTTTGCTTTACTGTCTCAATTTTCTGAATTTGCAGAAAACTGCAGGAAGTCCTTAATTTTTTACAGACAAGAAAAGAATAGGAAAAGGAAATAGGTCAGATTACAATTATTAATAGAATCAATTTCACAAAAACTATTCTGCAACAGAACTTTCTACCCTGTATATCAATATCTATTTCCACTTTTTCATGAGTTCTTTTCCTTCTTTAAGTTCCAAACACAAGAAGAAAATTACAAAGAAAAACAAAAACAATGGTTGCTATCATGGATACTGTAATACACATCCTAACTAATCTTTCTTTAACATGAGTATCAATATTCATAATGCCATGCCTCTGCACAATGCAAAAAAAAAAAAAAGTATTGTATTTCAAATGAGTAAAAAATCAAACAAGTCAAGAACTAGTAAGGGAAGAGATAAAAAAACCTTTGTGAAAAAACTAAACCAACATTACTACCAATACAGGAGTCCCCGATTATAATCTAGAATGATATGTTAGTGAATTTCATCCTTTCTCACAACTGTTGTTCCTCTGCAGCAGTTTACATCAGTATCATATTATGTTCTATTCTTCTACAAGTTCCTTTCTATTTATTGCAGCGGTCACTCACCAGTATGTTGAGAAGAATATGAGGACCGAGAAGAAGTTGACCACTGCTTTGCAAAGGGGTCATCTGGAGAGGAATCAGGAGCCCTCAGGCTATCAACTCTGTCCTGTGTCTCATGGCCACCTAACTCAGTTGGGCATTCAGGGCTGGGCACACCAGGACCTAATTCAGATTCCACACATGTAGCCATCTTCTGAGCCAGCATACGAGCTGTTTCTTCCTCCAACCTTCGAATGTCATCCATTGTGAGATCTATCCATTCGTCCTGCCAACACCAGGCCTGGCGATGAGCTCGCAGCATCACTTTCCGTAGACCTACAGTAGGAAGGCATTCAGGAATCATGATGGCATAGCTCTTCCCAGACACACTGCACTTTGGTTAGTTATAACTTCAGCTCCTCAATACATTAAAAGACATTAAAGTTATTTACTACATGAATGCTTCTTCCAATGCTTTTTAGTAACTTAAAAGGATTACAACCCAGTTCAGCTTTAAAAGAGGAATTCAATTTAGAGAATAAGAGGAGCTAACAGCATTGCAATTCTTTTTTCTTTTCAACAAAGATGCAAGATTCATTTTGGCATTTTATTTACCTTAACCAATACATTTTATTTATTTATTTGCCATATTTACGTAGTCCCCCTCTCTCACATGAAAGTGACTTTGGGAGGCAGATAGCACTTAACAATATAATAAATACTTAAAAGTCACACTTAAAAATAACTATTAAAAAGGCACACAAAAACAAAGGATGATATTGAACCATAGCAAGGGAGCCATTGCAAAATCTCCCTCGTTCCCTGGGACTCCCCAGGACGGATGACATAGCCACATCTTGAGGGACTTAAGGAATGTTGAAAGGAGTGGAGCTAATCTTATTGGGATGTGGGACGCTGCTCAGTGTAATTCCTCTGCTAAAATCAGAAGATATTTAATGTCAAATAAGTAGTCAGGAATGAAGATAATCCATTGAGTTAAATTGAAACCAGGGTCTCTAAACCAATCCACATTATTCACATAATGATGTTGTGGAAAAAGTGAAGTAAGGAACCTAAACTTCTATAGACACATGCTGTACCATCCCACTACTACCACTTCACTACATCCAACATGTCATTAGATAGTTGTGGTTTAGCCTATTTCTCTAATTTCATATCACAAAACTTTATCTTTAACATGATATGACCATTTCTATCACATATGTTTACACTGAAGATATCTCACATTTTTTCAATCAAAACTCTTTCAGAAATCCAGAAATCATTCTCACATTCAAGGAAAAAATACTGTATCCAATTTATAGTGGGATCTTGTCATCCTCATAATCTGCCACCTGTCAGCTATTGCATCCAGGGACACAGCTTAGATGAGCAGACAGCACAGCGTAGCTCATTTTTTTTGTCTGAGAAGTGCTGCACAACGTTGGATGACAATTCCTTTCATGTCAGAAGCTGATTTACATGGATAATCATAAATGTCATTAAGCCTCTAATTACTAGTTACCACCACTAATACTTCTGAGGTCACAGTAGGAAGAGTATCTCTCAAGCAACCAACCAATACATCAAAATCTTTTGGGTGCATTTTTACCTCAAAGGGTAGAATTGGACTAGAGCAGTAGTTAATTAGCAGTACAGAGGAAGAAAGTCCAATTTCTCACCAATTTCAGAGATAACATTTAGAGTTGCCATATGCTAGAAGATTGTAGATCCTGAACAAATGCCTTGTAATTAGCAGAGAAATGTGAAACAGTATTGGTTTTCAAAATGGCAGAGGACCCAATCATTTATTTTCAACTCAGAAAGAATAATTCTCAACATTGTACAACCTAGGTCTTAGAATGTTTCTTTAATATAGGGACCACAAGGGAGGCTTGGAACTGTTATCTTTGGGCCAGTATTAAATCTGATTTTGCATTAAGTAAAGGTAAAGGATCCCCTCGCACATACGTGCGAGTCGTTTCCTCTCTAGGGGGCGGTGCTTATTTCCGTTACAAAGCCGAAGAGCCAGCGCTGTCCGAAGACGTCTCCTTGGTCATGTGGCCGGCATGACTAAACGCCAAAGGCGCATGAAACGCCAAACACCTTCCCACCAAAGTGGTCCCTATTTTTCTACTTGCATTTTTACATGCTTTCAAACTTCTAGGTTGGCAGAAGCTGGGGTAAGTTAACAGGAGCTCACTCCATTATGCAGCGCTAGGGATTCGAACCTCTGAACTGCCAACCTTTCTGATTGACAAGCTCAGCATTTTAGCCACTAAGCCACCGCGTCCCTGATTTTGCATTAGAGTAGCTTTAATGAAATTCATATGAAAAGGGGAACTCAATAGAAAAGGTACTGCAGAAGTATTGCTACCGGAGAGGAAATGGACAACGTGCCTCTGCCAGCACAAGTACAGGATCAATCATCCACTGCCTAGGCATACAATGTGGCGTAAATCAGCTAGCTTCAGTAGGCCAGAGTTAGGGGACCTCTGTCCCTCAAGACATTGCTAAACTACTGTATTACCATGGGCAATATTGGATGGAGCTGCTGGGAGCTTACAGTTCAACATCAGGAAAAATCAAACTATCCACTACTGTCATGGGTTTTTGTTTGCTGAAGGAAGATGAAAAAGAATGGCAATAAAGAAGGTATCATGCTTACCTACATCATGAATGAATTGTTCAATCTTGGACTGCATGCCCCAATAGCGAAACTCCACCTTACAAAGCTTGTAAGCACACATAAAAGGCCCAGTATTTCCACTGTCTAGCCAATCATCTCCCAGAGGTCCACGTCCTGTCTTCACCGAATGGTATAGTCGTGGATCTTCCTCTATCTTGTATTCACTGGGTGAGATGGGATCCCGTACAATATCAATAGTATCTGTAGAGGAGGTTTTGTAAAAAGTGATTAATTGTAGGAAATTAAAATAATCGTACTTGGGTTTCTCAAGTCACTGTTCCTTCTCATCTCAAAATTGCTTCAGATGGTCAGCTACATTCCTGACTACTGCTGTTGCCTGGTGCACAAGTTTTGCCAGGAGCCTGCTGGCTATTCTTTCGCTCCTGGTGTATAACAACAGCATCCCCCAATCTATTGTCCTCCAGATGCATTGGATTTCAACAATGGAATGATGGTTGGGAATTCAAAATGTGAAAGTTCCTAACATCTACATAGAGTGAAGCATCCACAAGGCTGGTGAAGGCTGCCCTACAGCACAGCACTTTATATGCTGGGTGAAAGAGATATCCACTAATTTATACCTCAGTCATTTATTGACCCTAAATATAATCAGATAACCATCATTGTTCAGCCACTCCTAAACAATCAGTTGCTCAGCACAGAAGCAATCATGCAATACTATATTCTGATAACTTAAAAGTAAGAGGAATGGTCCAGTGTTTGAGAACTCACCGACAATCCTTTGCCTGCGCTCTGTAGTATTTAGATTGAAGATATTGGTTTGCTTTCCAGCATCTGGTCGGTAGTAAGTCTCAATCTCAATTGAAAATTTCTCCACAAAGGGGCATGTGTATCTATGAAGAAGAGCATGAAACTCACAGTTCTAGCTTTACCAACTTGGCAAACTCCAACCACATCTTTCAGCCCACTATTGCCTTCCTCTCACCTGGTTCGTGTGTAGGGGTAGGCATTCCAAGATTCTTCCTCCACCTGCAGAGCAGCCTTTGGTAGGAGAGCACGGAACCAGCTAGGAATATGAGAGCCCACATGGTAGATCTTATGTGTATATTGACCACTTCCTCCTGGACCATCATCATATGGTCGGTTGGACAGGATTTCAACCCCACTGCCTTCGCCACTGGATTCCTCACGGCTTTTTTTCTAAGAGAGACATCTTCAGCTTGCAATCTATATCTTTTGTTCTTTGCATCCCTCAACCTGCTTGGTTTTGGTCTTGTTAACCCCAAAACTCCATCTGGTTAAATAAACATGCATCAGCCTGCTCTATTTAGCCAAACTGATGTTACCTGGATCATGTAAAGTTGGGCCACCTGGTATTCGGCCAGGCTCATGGGCAGCAGTATATGATATTCTTTGATCAGCATCTTGACTGTCAGATCCTGTGAGTTGAGACACAGTAGAGGGCAGATAAAAGTGTGCAGCCAACACAGGTATCTATTTGTGGCTGTGGGCCACTTAAAAACATAATATGAAAATGGGATCACAGAAAACATTAAAACAGCCCAAGAAAATTTTGTTTTGGACAACACAGCTTAAAAAAATTAAAAGATATATCTCAAATGCTCACCTATATCATAAAGATTTTTTTGTATCAATCAGATTGGCATGTATTTATTTTTATTCTCATTATCAGAAAACCATCATATGTCAAAATGAAGCATTATATAAGTATGGAAAGGAGCTGCTGGTCAAAAGTAGTAGCTTAAACCACATTTTTACTTCCTCAGATGAGAAGCTGGAAAGAAGCCCCCATCTGACCTTATTTCAAAATCCAACCCACTGGGTAAGTTTCCATAGCAACTCTTAAGCAAATGAGAGGCTAGGGAGTTTCAACATAGCAAAAGCAAAAAATGTGGAAGGGAGTAAAATAATAGCATCTAATGCTCTTGGTCTTTTACATCTTCCTAGACCATGTCAATGGTTCCCAAACTTTGCCTTATTATGATCTGAGAAAAAGAAATTGTGCCATCTCCCACGTGTAAATAAAAGTTTTCCTGAACCAATTAGATAAAATATTAGAGGGGATGGATGAAAAATTAATTTCTAAAATGTATAATTATCTATTAGAATTTGAAATGGCGGAAGAAATAGTTAAAGGCCCAATGACCGCATAGACAAGGAATGTAGGGCACAACATTAATTTGGAAGATTGGGAAAAAGTCTGGGAACAAAATTATAAAATAACACAATCGGTTGTTTATAAAGTAAACCAATACAAAATGTGTTATCGGTGGTATTTGGCACCTTCAAGGTTAGCGAATATGTACCCAAATTTAAATCCGACCTGTTGGAAATATAAGCAAATGAGGGGTACCTTCTTTCACGCTTGGTGGCTTTGCCTAAAAAGTAAAAAGTACTGGAAAAAAAATTAGAATTTGGATAAAAGAAATTACAAATATACGACTAGAATTAAGGCAGAAATATTTTTGTTGGGAATGTTAAAAGGGGACTAGGCAGAAGAAATGAAATACTTAATTCCCCATACAATCACAGCAACAAGAATTGCATTGGCACAATGCTGGAAGGGTGACCAAATGCCAACAAATAATTTGATAATTCAGAAAGTTCTTTACTGCACTGAAATGGACCTACTTACACAAAAACTTAGAGATAAGGTAGACTCAAAATATACTACAGTTGGATGAAGAAGAAAAACCAGGAAATTAAAAGATAAGGATTTGAAAAATGAAGTGGTTAAACTAAGAGCATTTACCAAAAATAGAAAATGAATATTAGTAAAATTGTTTTCAATAAATGATCACACCATCTTAGCTGATATATGTTTTATGTTAATATTTGTATTTGTATATTGGTTTCATTTGTAATGAAACACAGTATTTTATTATATATATATATATATATATATATGTATGTATATATGTGTGTGTGTGTATATATGTGTGTGTGTGTGTGTGTGTGTGTGTATGGCATTCAGCTTTGTTCAGGTATTTTCCCACGTCATTGTAGTTGTAGTCAACATTGTAGTCAACTACAATGACGTGGGAAAATACCCAAACAAAGCTGAATGCCATATACACACACACACACACACACACACAATCTTTAATAAAGTTTATTTTAAAATTTAAAAAAAAGTTTTCACAGGGATTGGGGTGAGGCAAGAAACAACCTAAACTTATTCATAACAATTATATTTTTACCTATATAGCAAATAAAACAGTGGCAGAACATAACTTTTTAAAACAACAGTTATTTTGAAAACAAAAATGCAATTTAAAACCATTTTTAACATGAAGAATGAATTGCTTTTTTTGGCCTAACATTTGAAATTGGAATTCCATTTTGAAAATAATTCTCTCATTTACCAATGGGGGGGAGCCACCTTGCCCAAAATCGACTTCTCTTAAACTGTTCTTAAAATGCTATAGCTTGCAGAATGTGGCCAGACTATAATCTGCTTTTGGTGCTTTTTGAATTAATACAATCACTCTAAGATAACAGTCTCACAAGGTTTTCCCCCTTAAGCCTGGTGCTTGTAAATCCTTCCCCTACTGTTGCAATTTCCTTCTAGCTGCACTCTTACAGCCCTTCCCCTTAGAAGTGATAATTTCCTATGCAAAGTGAGTATCTGATCAGATGGTCAATTTTGCACAGAAGCTTCATGCCTTCCAGGCATGACTAACTCCTCCTCTAAAAGGCAAATGCAATATGTTAAAAGCAAACATTCAGACTTCATACAGGTCTCTGGAACTGCAGGGTTACTTTGCATTCAGAATGATTTTGCATCAGACTGTATACTTTTGTGCAAAAACAGCACAAAAAAGAACTCTGTGGTGATCCTCCTCTTCCCCCTCGTATCTTACAACCTCCTTTAAGAGTTCATTTAGAGAAATACTAAAGTGTGTAATTGGTTTGGTTTTGGCTTAACATAATTTCAAAAGCCAGTTATATAGCTTATTATGTTGTGTGAAGCCAGCTAATAATGGCTTGGGCAACAAACAATGGCCAAGTGAACTTTGGCTAAATAATATGTATGAATTTGTTTTATGATTTACAGGCTTGTGTCAATCCAACTAGAGCATGGAGCTGGTAAAGCTATGTAAGTAACTTGATAAAATAAGGCTTTAGTCTTAGCCAAATTAATTAGAATCAAGGCTTCTAGATAAGTATGCATAGGTTTGTGGTGTCAATGCTGATGCTCCTTCTAATTCAGTACTTTCATGATTCTGTTTATGCAACACTTTGTAATCAAGGTTTCTGGGGATTTAAGAGGCGTTACTACCGCCCCTTCTCTCCTCTTATACCAGCATGCCATGCAGAGTTTAAATCATGCATAACTTTGCTCAGCAGTGTACTGCAGGGAGAAACTACTAAATCTCTGCCCATCATGCATCTATTGAAAGCATAGGAGTACTTTCAAGAAAAAAAAAGTCTGCAGGCCTCCTAGAGAGCTGTTTTCATGAATATCCTTTGCCTTATGATCCTGTCAAATTGCTCTAGCTCTTGGCCCTTGCAACCTGCTGTTCCTGTAACATACCTCAAAACAATCATATAACTTCACATACATTATTATTCTGCCATATCCTGCAAAGTCAAATAGCCTTATTATCCTCATAAGGGAATATAAGAACAGCCACTGAATTTACAATTTACCCATTGAAAGTTACATCATAAATTTTGTAAACTCTGTATGCCATCTGAAAAATGAAGTACTATACTAGACGTGGCCATAATTGAAAGCAACACAACAGAGAGGTTTATAGTTTTTATGAAAATACAACTGAAGAATGTAAACAATTAAGTTGTATGTTTTGCTCACTAACTGGGAAATGTCAGTGTACCCTATTCTCTATATTCCAGTATCAGTATTTATGAAAAAAAACTCTTTCCAAGTACAAATACATTAAACCTTTCAAAATTCTGAATGTGAAAAAAGAAAGCCAAAACCTGTTGAGACTTTACAGAATAAACAACATAGTTTAGTATGTTTTCCATTCCATGTATATAAACAAATATGAAGGAAAAATATGTTAAAGAAATTAAGCAATAGTTATTGTCTACAGTACATTTGTAAAATAAGGTGAACTTCAGCACAAGTAGATGAAATTCAATATTTCCTACAATGTATTAGAAAAACTACTTCAGAATCTAACTCCTTATAAAGTCATGTTCTACAGAAATAGCTTCTAAAATAGTGTCTAAAACATTCCCATGTTCTGGCCACAATTCACTCAGCCTGCTATACCATTTAACATGCGTTGTGTTATGTCTAGTAAGTAATCTTTTTCAAATCAGTTACCCAAATTCTTACAAGCACATAGTTGATGGGAAGCTTGCTAATTGCCATAACCAATTAAGCAAAGCTCCTTAGAGAGAAATACATGTAAGCGCCCATCCTAAAACTTATTCAGGACATAAGTGTAGGATTTGGACACAAAGCTAAGCTAAGCATACTTAGAAGAGAAAGAAATGGGCATACTGAGTAAACACACACACAATTCAGCAATTTCATGGAAGCCTTAGGCTATGTATTTTTGTTTGTTTCTTGGTGTATTTATCCTCACAGTCTATACCTAATGTTTTTAAAGTATTAAAGGAAGCACCTCTCTCCCGTAAAACATGCTTGCCTCAAAAAAAAAAAAATAATATCCACAAATTCAACTTTGCCTAATTCATCCACAAAACTCTGGTTTCAATAGGTCTGCCCCATTAGAAGAAATTACCACTTCGTCTTTCTCGCAAGAACAAAATTAAGCCAGTAGGTGCAATTTACACTTGACTTCCATGTTTTGGGGGCGCTACTCAAGTGGCTAAAGGTATGCTTGCCTTGCAGCCATTAACGGGCATAGGCGCCCTGTATAAATAAAACATGGCAACCTGACGGCTGAACGATGGTTGGTTCAAACATACCTTCGTTCCGTCCCAGACATTCAATACAGCAGTAAACTACTATTTAAAAATAACTACCGTTCACGCTAACTGAATTCAACCCACAGCACTGTCAGAAAGTCAGAAAAGCACTGCTCGGTTGGAATAATCGGAGCAGGAGAGACACGAGGCGCTGTCATCGCCCTCGGCGCCTTTGCTCAGGTGAAAGACTGTTGCTTTTAGGGAATGGCGATCTAAGATGAAGGCGGGAGGGCTGGTACAGGGGTCCGCTTCAAGGCACATGAGAAATCGGTGAGGAGCGGGAAACGCGTTGGGCTGCTTGGTTTCTTTCCGGGGCCCAAAGAGGCAGCCCCGTCGTCTTTGGAGCGATATCCTTTCACCTTTCTTTCCACCCGCCGCAAAGCCCATGCAGCGTTATTCTGCACGCCTTCCTTACAGCCCAACCGTGCCCCAAAACCGCCCCTGCTGATACCGGGCTCCCGTCCCGCCCGCCCCTTCCATCCAGTGCAACGCGTGCCTTTCGCCAGCCTCCCAGCCCCACGGCTACGCGTGCACCGCCGATACTCTCTGCACACGCACACGCACACACGCGCCACCTCCCGGGCCCAGACCTGTGGCTCGATGTAGGGATGCCGGCGATGGAAGCAATGGTATGCTACGTCGGGGGGAAGACGTCGGGTGGGGGGGGGGCGGGGAGAGGGAGTTGAGAAGGGAAAAGAGACCGCCGGCCTCACTGTGCCCTCCCCGAACCCGCCCTTTCTCTGCCCGGGGCTGCCCGGCCGCTGTCAGGGCTCGGTCGCTGCGCTGGCGGGAGCATGGTCTTGAGAAGCAGCGCGGCCGGGGTAGTCCCACTGACTGGGGATGGATGGATCGACAGACCGAACCGACCCGCTGCCTCTCGCGTCACCGCGGCGGAGAAGCGCGTTCAGCCGCAGTCCTTGCGGGGGAGGGAGGAGGAGGAGGCGGGAGTGCGATTGGGAGGGGAGCGGGCAGGGCTGCTCGTGTGAAGGAGCGTCGAAGTGGGCGCACGGGGAGAGACGGGCAGGCAGGCAGGCAGGCAAAGCCTCCGGCCGGAGGTCTGGAGGGGAAGGAGAACCTCGTAGGGTTTGCAGGATACTGACACGGCCGATCTCCTGTTTATTCAGTGAGTGGCCCTCTCCTGAACCTCGGAGGTCGAACGGTCGATCCCCATTGTATTTTTCACCCCCTTTGAGAGAGAGCGGAGAATCGGAGGGAGGAAAGCGGAGCCCCTGCGCCCGATCAACTTAAGGGGAGAGGGCTGCAGTTTAGAGGGAAGGCGGCCGTGCCGGCATCGGGCAAGTGAGGAACTGGCTGGAGAAGCAAGCGCAGCCTCCGGGTCCCCAACACCCAGGATTCTCTCCCTCACCCCCCCGCTTCATTCACAGAGTGCGAGGCGAGTCCCTTTTTTTAGCACGGGCGTAGGTTTCCATAGAAACTGCGACCCAGAACTTGCAAAGTCTCGGCACCTCCGAGCTCGCTCTTCCCCGCCCATCCTTCTGTGACTTCATTGCTCGTTACCATGGGAACGCTAGTGACGTCAGATCCCAGTGACATCAAGGACTCAAGGAATGGCGAGCTCTTTTGAAACCGTTCAAATAAGCTTGATTATTTGTGTTCGGCGGGGCTGCGCTTAGAAAAACGGCAGACTTGAGGTCTAGTCTAGTCCTACTTTAGGCATGAAAGCTTACTGCGAGATTGTGAGCCTGTCGTGCGCTCTCTCTCAGCTCCGACCCACTTGTGAGGAAAAGAGGAAGCAGCATTACGCCTTGAATTACTTATAAAATAATAAAGGCGGGGAAATATCAAATAATGAAATAAGCCTGTATGAATAAATAGCAACTGAATCAGAAATATATTTGCATTAAGACCGCATTCAAGGGACCCCTTCACCATTTTTAGAGGAAACCGTTTACTGTCTGTTTAATTTCCCAAATAGTGGATCATTGACACACCCAGCATCTCCAGACCCCAACCTACTGAAACACACTGGGATGAAATAAAACTAAGAAACACCAGCTTTTTAAAATTATATTAGCCTTTGGGTGGAACTGGAGCTTTTGCCAGGATAAATTCTTCCTCAGCTTGAGCTTGGAATCTGGTCAACTCCATATTATTTTCATGGCAACAGTAGGGAAATTGTTTGCATTGCTTTTTTTGTGGGGTGTTTTCCAGTTCCTCATCTAGCCTGTGATTTCTTGGTAGTCTCCTATCCAAGTATGAACTGGTCTGGCTCCAGTTTTTCTGACAGCAGCCATAGTTGGTTAAGCATGATTACCTAACATGATGAGAACTTCTGTTATATGTTAGCAAAAATAAATCAATAAAATCTCAGATTAGTGCTGTTCAAATATTATATAATGCCACAGAGATGACTTGGAGAAACCATATGGAGCTTGTTACATCATGTTCAAAAACATCAGTGGAGTCTGAAAAACGGAATATGTTTGGAAAAAACACACTTGATTCCTCCTTTACTCCCTAGGATATAAGGGAAAATGCATTCAGGCTTGCAAGACTGATGTCAGACCTTTGAAATCAAAAACAGGCTCCATATAGAACTATGATATAGGCTATTTGTGACAGAATCCTGCAAGCATGCCTAAATACAACTAGAAGCTGCAACTTCTGTAGAATGTAATGGCACATTCTGGATACTCTGCAATTTGTTTCATTGCATCATTGCTGTGCAAGCTGCACTGGCTGCCAATTGCTTTCCGGGTCCAAGATGTTGTTGACCACCTTTAAAACCCTTCATGGTACATGGCCAGTTATCTGCTGGACTACCTATCTTTGGGGGGTATCTGCCCATCTCACTAGGTTAGAAAGAGTGGACACACCTCTAAACTTTTGACATCTAGTGGAACCTCAGAAGGGCAGATTTTCTGTAGCCATCTGGGCTTTTGAAATAGCCTCCAACCTGAGATTGAGAGGGCCTTTATCCTTTTAGCCTTCCAGAAAGCCAAGACCTGGCTCTTCCCCAAGCATTCAGCTAGCATGGAAAAGAGTTAGGGGGTCAACAAAATGGATGATTCTGGCACCTTGGCAGGAAGGGTATGATGGTTTTTAAGGCAAGAGATGTATATGATTTGGGGAGGAACCAGGTACAGTATGTTGCTTTTTTATTGGTTGCTGTGAGCTGCCAAGGAGTACCGTGTGAGGCCAGTGGACATGTTCATTTAAATAAAATAAAATGTGCAGTTTGGAGGTTATCCTTGACTCTCAGCTCTTGTTTGAGGAACAAGTGCCACTGTAATTGAAGACGTTTTACACAAC